CCTCGGAACGGTGAGAACTGTAGGAAGCGGGGTTTGCGGAGAGAAATGATGTTGTCAAGGCGAGCTAATGGAGGAGGTCCCCATTAACGGGGCCGTAACAAATGGTCCGATCTGTTGGCTCAATCGCACTTAGACAGTTTGATTAAACGCGGCGAAATGCAGGTGCGGAATTGCGTTACACGTTGGAATGGTTTGTTCGATTGGAGGTAACAAAAGCTTTTACAATGAAGAATTGCAGTGACAATAACCAAATGATTTTGGAATTAAGGTTTGAGCTTAGAACGGCTTATGTTAGTACGCGCTTTTCGATTCCCATTGATTACACGTAATGATGTAAGAAAAGTCTAGCCAGGAAATCTGTATAATTTCAAAGAGCCATTAGTAACTTTCAGAACTAAAGTTTAACTCTGACCAATTAGTGCAACATCATAATAATTGCAGTTTGTTTGAAAGACAGGAAAACTTTCGTCGGCAACTACAGAAGTTAATGTGGCATGCGACAGAACTTATCTATCATTAGAAGCCCCAGTCGATAACGAGCAACAGATACAAATTGATAGAACGCCAGTAGCAGCTCTCGGCTCTCCAGCAGTGGCCCCGTTTTCCGTGAACAGAGAAAGGAAAGCTGAAAATAATGTAAATTTATTGTCTTAATTTATAATGCAACAAATTGAGCAACTGCGAGCTAGCAAGAACACTTTGGCCAAATATTAATGCTGACAGGCGGTGGGGACGAGGATTCAAGTGGAAAGTATCTCGTAGATACGCATAATGGCGCGGCATTGAACTTGAACTTATCTGCGATTGGAGCTTTTCAATTGTTTGCCAAAGTCATTGGGCGAAAAGTTGCTGCCATTTTGCCTCTCACAAAGTTATTACAAAGTTTGCCATATAAGTTTTGGCAGCCTTTTAAAGTTTGTCCCGCCCAGCCCACTGTCAACTGGATATAGATAACTTTGGACCGTCGGATGCTGCATCGACTTCTCGGCTTCTCGACTTCTCGACCAGCAAATTGAGTGCACACAGCCAGCAGACGTTTGTCATTTGTCTGCCGTCATGTCAGTTGTCAAGTTTGATTTTTCGACATTTGCCTCTCAGTTCTATTTAACTATATGTACTATATGTACTATATGTATGCTTTTTGTGTCTTTAATTTGTTGCAACCACTGTGACAAAGCTGGGAAAAAATATGAAATATCGTGCTCTATGATACGGAAAAGACAAATTTGTGAACTTTTTCGGAAGCACGTCGACATTGTTCTGTCAATCCCTTTCCCAGATTTGGGGTCTCTCAGCAAAGTGGTGGCTTGTGTAGCCGATCAATGAATAATATTAAATACCTGGGAGCTTCGCTCAATTTATTCTTGCCTTCCCATAACAATCATAAGCATCGACGAAGCAAGAATTCAAATCTCTAATCAAAGTGCCGCATAGAAGTATAGATCCAGCATGAGTACTTTTTAGGTTTCAAGATTCAGCCTCAACGTTTTCTAATCCCAGGCCACAGTCTTTTGTGTTTTCCTGGTGTTGACAAATGGAAAAGGGTGCTGAGGGGGGCAGTTGATGCCTGAACACTTTATCTTAATGTCAGTTTTTGTTTCGTTCGGCATCGGCTTGAGTCGAGAGGTTTTTCCGGCCCGGTCGTGTGCGTGAAGCAGTTAAAGACGCCTCAGAAAATTAGCCATAAAAAACGCATTTGTACATCGGTGTTTTTCGGGGGGAGTGGAAGGGGAAGGGGCGCCTCATTTGGGAGTCATGTCAAAATCACGACTTGCAGGCGCCCGGCGATAAAAACAGAGCGAGGATTTACATTTATATTAGGCGGCCCGAAGAGATCCGCCCATGAATCATCGCGCAGTTAAATAGCTTTAAGTGGTGGCCGTTCGCCATTCCCGAGCCTTGTTTCATTTGCATTCCGCTGTTCAATCCCTGTTTCAGTTCGACAACGTCAACGCGTGTCTGCATGTGCTGCGAAGCCAGTCGGTCGGCGGCTTGGAGAACATCACCACCAACGACATCTGTGCCGGCCGCCTGAAAGCCGTGCTCGCCCTCTTCTTCGCCTTGAGTCGCTTCAAGCAGCAGGCCAAGCAGACCAAATCCATCGGCGTTGGCTGCGGCGGCGGAGTGGGCGCCTCCTCGACCCTGGGCATCGGCGCACTGAGGACTCCGGGATCCAGTCTGAACCAGGATAAGAATCAGCAGGAGCAGCAGCAGCAGCAGCAGCAGCAAACGCCACAGCAATTGGCCCAATCGCTGGAAAACGGCAATGAGATGGTGAATCGGTGAGTTTATTGCGAGAGCATCTTTTAAATATCTCAAATCCGCAACCAAATGTTTGAATATTCTTCTGCAAGTGCTCAAGCAGTGCAATTTTATGGTTCGTTCTACAATCCTTCGCTCACATCTTTGGCATATACTTTTAGATACATATCAATACGTTTCACACCGCGTTCGTTATTTATTTAATGCTCAGAAGTATGCAACGAAATAATTGAAGCATTTTTGCAACACGCCTGACTTCATTGCATTCTTTTGGGCACCCCGCATTTTACTTATACTATACATTTTACATATTACTCTTATACATGTCATATAAGTTGCTACAGTGACTCCCGAGTTTGCCTCACATACAGAGCCATCTAGCGGCGAGCTGCTGCTGCATTGGTCTCTTGTAGCAACGAGTCTTTTATCGGTAGCAATTGCACTTAGAGTTGGGTTTAGCCACCTGCAAAATTCAAATGAAACCAGGCATTTCAAGTATTTACCTCCACCAAGTGGTAAATCATTCTACTTATCCGAATTCGGAAAACCTCCCCCAGCGCCATCCAAAATATCCATATCCCATGTCAGAGATTTCCTTTGGAGTTAGCTTAGGCCGCCATAAGACATCCGGCAGGCATTTCTTTCCTAGAAATCGCAGCGCGTTTAATATGATTTATTGGTTTGTTTGCCGGAAATTACAGGCAGTTGGGCTTCCATTTTTTGGGGTTCTGCCCCACGCCGCCGCCAGCAGATGTCATCGGGAAAATGGCAGGAAAACTCCAGAAAGGCACACAATTGGCGTGCTACAAGTTTAAAGAGAGGAAAATCTCTGCCAGAGGGGGGAGCTCCGCAAGTGCTCTCTGAAAATCCAAAGCCAAATTCAAAGAAGATGGCAAAATTAGAAAACTTTATTTGCCCAATGTCTGTGGGGAGGTCTTCGGTTTGGACTCCGTCCCGTTCCTCGGGGCTTTCCTTTGGAGCGTCGTGTTTGCAACCCTCGGGGAAATCCTCGCAGCTGCAGACAGGAAGCGGAAGCTTTTGTGTGGCGCCCGCCCCCATTTCCCCTCCCCGACTTGGTCGAGCAACTGGAGCCCGAGCCCCAGCGCCTTGATGACTTTCACTGACTATGAAATTTAAATGCGCTGCGGAAATGTTTTGCGTTCGCCGCTGCTCGTCCTGGCAGACAAATAAATTACACACCATTTTTATGGTCGTCCTTGCGCCTAGTTTGTGCCGTTCGACGCAATCCCACGGATGGAGCACTTCGCTTAGAGTTGCGCCACAGAACTTTCGCTTCGCCGTGGCATCGACCCTCCAGAGCGAGAGCGATGTTTATGCTGTCTGCGGTCTGGCGACCTAGACCCACTTTGGAGTTGGGGATCCCGCCAGCCACCCGGAGCGGTGACAAAATAGCAACCCCGGGAATAGTACACCCAAAAGAAAGTTTCAGAAAGCCCACCACTTTCCAGGTGCTGAAAAGTTGCCTGCACTTGGGTAAAAGACCCCCGAAGTTCTACTTTATCGAGGATAGTATGCCACACGCTAGCACCTTTTATTCAGCTAACCAATCAGAACTAAAAAGTCATCCCACTTTCTTTTTCTGCGTGTACCATTAGCGGCAGTGCTCGCTGGAATTTCGGCAATGCAAAATTCAAAAGCATTCTAACAACGGCAGCTGCTACTGACTGCTTTTTATTCTGCGCAGGGTGGGTGGTTTGCTCTCGGGGAATTCCAATTTCATGGCACTTCGCAGGTTTTCAGCTGCTGGAGCTCTGACTGTGATTTTTTGGGGACAAGCTGCTGGCAGGAGCAACATGTTGCACCGACGCACATAATTAAAGCCAGACGACATACCCCATAAAGCACTTGAATTTATGCCCCAATACCCCTACGAATTCCAAGGATTCTGCAACAGCTGATGGCGATTTAAGCCGGAGTGCACAACTCCCACCATTTATAACTGCAAATTGCTTTGGCAGACATGCCAGCCATATGTATTGTATTTATAGCAGTTGTAACCGAGCTTTGCTTCTGGAATTGGCTCGAAAGTAACCCCTGAAGACGGGCGAGGTCTTCCAAGGGGAGGAAGCTCAGATGGCCCCACATCCACCCCTGAATTGGATGAATCCGCCCACGTGCGTGTGCTCCTGTGGCTCTCTAATTCGCATGCATTTATGCGTGACCATGAACAAGAGGCAATCCCCCAGGATCCCAGGATCCCGGGTTCCCGGGATCCAGCATGTCCTTTCCCTTCCCCGTACCCTTCCGCTTCCAAATGCACTCCAAATGACTGTGACCACTCCTCTCTGGCAAATTGTCAAGTCCTTGTTGTCCTCAGCCTCGTCTGGCTTAACTTTTGTTGTCCTGCGGGCTTGGTTTTTTCCACATGGTCGGCTCCTCTGTTCTGAATTTATAATTCCATTTGTGGTTTTAATTTCGTAAATGTGAGATTAATTTTATTCAATTTGCGTGCCCGGAGTCGGACGGGTGGCCGAAATCCTGGCAGCTTGTGTTTAGGTCTGGGGTAAACGCTTCATTGACTGTCAATTGCTGGCGATTGAGGCGGCAAGAGGGCGGTGAGAGTTTGGGAAACGAAACGCTGCCAATGCAACAGGAATTTAAAGGACTCGAATTTTGCAGCTCCATTTTCCTTACGTGTCCACAATCCGCTTCGAGTTCATAAAACCCAGTTCAAGTTTCTTGTCAAATAATACTTTAATATGAATAGGGAAAGAACTAGTGACACCACCATATGGATGGCACCTTAGAAGTACTTTCTATCTAGTTTGTCCCTGCCCAAGTCCTCCGCATTATCCATCACACCCTCCAGGAATCGTTCCTCCTGCGGATCCAGCCGCGTTATGAAGATGTCCCGTGTGGCCCTGAACTGGCCGCAATTGTACAAGTGCTCGTTCTCCAGGCGCAGAAAGTTCCAGAAGAATCGCCTCACTATCTCGCTGAAACAAATCAGCGTTGTGCCATTGTGGGGTGCCAACAGCTCCTGGTGGACCAGGGCAAACTCCAAAATCCAGACGAACCGAAGCAGGGTATTTTCCACGATCACGAAGTAGTAAAACCACTGTGGAGCAAAGGTGTTGCCATTGATTACTTTCCAGCAAAGGTAATAATGAGGGCTTGAGGTCTTACCCTGGGATAGACCAAGTTGTCGCGGAGAAATAAGTTCCCGCCCTTCCACACTCTGAATAAACCAAAGTCCATTAGCAAGTCCCAGAACATGGAGTAAATTGACGAGACAAGGCATATGGTTATATGCGCCCAGGTCCAGGGGCACTCAAATAGCTCGGAATAATGGGCTGTGGGTTTTTGAATGAGTTATGAGCTTATTTGAGCAATGGAGTAAATATATTTAAGCCACGTACTAACTGCGTGCATCTGTATGGTTGAAAATACGACTTCCGCTATGGACAAAAAGTACTTCAGGGCGTTGATCAGGTAGTCCGTGGACTTGGACCCACTGTCCCTGAATCTTCGGAGACTCTGAGCGAACCTGAACCACGCAGGCAAGCATCGAATGACAGCCACCGCGTAGTCCGGCTCAAACTCGAAGGCATCGCTCCGATCCAGGAAATAGCGCACGTAGAACCGCACCAGGTAGTAGTGATCCACGATGGAGACCACCAGAGAGGTCCACTGATCCGCCACCCAAAAGTCCGCGAAGTTCACGAAGAAGAAGGGGGACGCAAGGACGCGACCCACGACGGTCAGGAGCCAGATCCTGGCTGAGTAGAAAAGAATGGGAGCGGGGTTCACGAGCAGCACAGCCACAATGGCCAGCTGCACCAGCGGTATGTAGTTCGGATCCTCTAGGAAGAACTCCTTGTGCAGCAGGTACAGCAGAATGCCGAGAGTGGTCACGTATCCAAAGAAGGAGACTATCTGCAGGGACCTCATGGCTCCTATGGCACTTCTGCGCTCTACCTCGAAGATCAACACGTGGTTGACGCCCACGCTCTCGTACACTTTTATATTAATGGCCAGGCAGAAGCCAAAGGTCACACCTGCAATGGGCCCTCTGAACAGACTGACAAACTTGTAGCGCGACTCCGGACTCAAATTCAGCGAAAAATCTACAGGAAGAAAATAAAGCCTACTCTGCCAAGCTAATCAGGTATAAAGGATCTACACACATGATATAAAGCACATGGCAGCGCCCACCAAAAAGAGCCCAAGGAGAAGCCCGGCGCTGAAGACATGAGCCGGCGGAGTTGGGTGGCCCAATGGCGGCACTCGCAGCTTGGCCATAGCCTCAGACCTGTCTCCATTGGCCAAGTACTCCGTGTAAAGGTCCTCCGTGGCCGATATCATCCGGTCCAATTGGAGGGTCTTGGCAAAGGCCGACTTCTCGAGAACGAACTTCTCGTACCAGCTGAGTCCAGCCTCTGACTTCAGGTTCTTGTCGTACTTCTTGCAGATCTTGCGAAAGGCCGTCATGTTCAGAGTCTGGTAGTTCTGCAACATTATCAGGCTGAGTGGGGCACTATTTTAGTTTTCATTTCATCGAAGTCACAAATGATAGGAAACATCATTGGAGGGTCGTAAGATGTTCGCTAGATGTTAGTATGTCACTGAGCAAGGGACCCATACCTCAGATAGAACTCGCTCATGGCCAGTCGAAGCTTCTTGATGGGCGGCCGCTTGCGCTTGTCCTCCTTCTGGCGAGTCCATGACGCAGCTGAGCCCCTGGAAGTCGACGATCCGCGAGGATCCTGCTGTGCACGACGACGGTCCAGTTGGTAATGGAGGGTGGCCAGCTTGCGATGCGCCTCCGCCTGCTTGTGGGCAAAGAAGTCATTCACTTTGGTCAGTTCTGCCCTGCAGGTGGTGAAGAAGAGTTCCTCGAAGTCCCTGTAGTACCCGCTTGCAACATCATTACTTGGCCGAGCTGCACTGGGCGCATTGTTCACGCCACTCTTTATCAGTTGCTTCAGCTCCTGAAAGTTAGACTGAAAGTTAGTCTGGACTGAGGATGGCTAGATAATCGGGGTTACATTGTAGTTCATGTACTGATGCCGCCATTCAGGTACCATAAGATTTTCAAGGGTCTTGCCAAACTTCATTTTGGAGGGACTTTTTTGTACACTTTTACTGTGAGCTTAAATTATTTGACAAATATTTCTAGTTCTAGTGCGATCGCTATATGATGCATACACATTGGCGTGTACCAGACAGTTAGTTGAATCCAAATTTAGCCGAAGGCATTACTAACAGAATCCTACCAAAATCCAGCAGTCCTTGAAATCTGTAATTGGGAATTCATCCCTTGTGGACCGTCAACAAATTTGGTTCGCTTCGTCCTGCGAAAATTGTTCACTGTCCGTGAATTGCTCAACCCACGAAAATTGTGACATGCGTTTCCCATATCCATTCCCAATTTCCAGCAGTTGACAATTTCGCTTTTGTTTTCGCAAACGATGTCCGCAGAACCACAACTCTCATCCTTACAACTTCCTGGCTTTTCAAGTTCGTTTTTTCAAGTTTTCCGCCTTTTTTGAAGTGACTGCGCTTGGGTGTATTATTAAAAATGAAGAGAAGTCCTGGAAAATGGGTTGACTAAGGGTTGGCCTCAGTTTCGCAACTCTTTAAGCTCGCCGACTCTCCAATGGAGAGCCACAATTCGATTCCGGAGGCTTGCCATTAGTCATAAGAAAAGAAAATTGGGAAAAGCGGAAAAGTGGGAAAATGTCGTCTACAGGCATCCCAAGATGAGTAGTAGTGGGTGGCCAAAAAGGACTCCCATCTCACCTCAGTCGTCATCATCAAAGCCGGCATTCATCTTCCCCTCAGAGCCACAATGTGAAAAATGTGAAACAATTGCAACGATGATTACTTTTTCCAACAGTTTTCCCCCTGTTGCTGTTGTTGCTCGGTCGTAAAGGAAAATTGAATTGCCAATGGGCGGGGCATCAAGTTTGTCCCGCCCCAAGGGGCCGTTTCTGGGGGATTGTACGGAAAACAAGACACGGACAGGCGATGATGAGACGGATGAAACAGGTGAACTCCATAATTATATGCTAAATACTCGGGTAATTAACTCCCCCGGGAACATTAACTATTTGAAGAACTTGATTAAGCTGAAGACTCGCCTCGTGAATTTGCCGGGATGGATGAAGTCCGAGAAAAGCTGCCGCATGTGCGAAATATAATACTGAACATTACCCTTTTCAGCAAGGATAAAATGAGCAGCTGTCAGCAGAGTTGGTTTAGCTTAACATTCCCAGGCTAAATGGCAATTCGAATTGCGATCCTTAATAATTGGCTTTTGTGCAAAGTACTTAAGGCAAAATACTGCTTAGACTCAGATCTATATAAAATATAATCTAGAATTATTTGGTCGGGTTTTACTGAGGCGCAGAGGGACTTTCCATATTAGAAAGCGAGTTTTCCATTTAATAAGCCAAACTTGAAATCTAGAGTATTTTCAGCGGATTTTTCGGGGCTTGTCCTGGCTGGACACCCATAACCATTGCGCGAATAAAAATATTTGCATAGACGAACCGTTCAGCAATTGGATGGACGGCCAAGTGAACAATGGGGAGCACATCATCGGCGGAGTCCGGGGACAGACTATATAAAATGAAAAGTAAACATTGCAGTGTCCGCCGGTGGCCATTGAAATGATAAAGTGCCCGGCTGAGCTCCTCTCCGTCCGGAAAGTTCGCCGGAGTCGGACAAAAGGCAGTAAAATGCATGCTTAGTGTTTTTGGAGTCCGGAGAGGGGCTTAATGGCATTAGGAGGGGGCCACGGAGCAGTCAGTCTGGAACTATGTACATCTGGTTTTATCCGCATGTTGTGTGTGGCAAGTCGGGCGAAAGGCTTTCATGCTTTTTGGATTTGTCCAAACAAAGATTTATTGGGTCTAGTTTTGGGGCTCTGAATTTCGCAGGAGTGGCGAGGGTGTGAATGCTGTTTATTTTTAAACTGTTTGTGGCTGTAGCAAGTGAGGAAGAAAGTTGTGGAAGACTCAAAGAACCTCTCCACTCTCTATTCCCTGCAAAACATTGGCAGAAACGTTGGCAAACAAGTGACAGTTTACTCCATTAGTGTAAGTTACTTGCCCAAGCAACTAGCTTATCAACTAGCACATTTCAGCTTAGTTAACTTCTTAGCTGCGATTCAATTAACACTCGCTCGCTAAACCCCGTCACTCCTCGTCACTATTCAGACGTGGCAGCTACATGAGCTCTAATCGCACTCCCTGACAATATCTGCCCAATAAATTCAATTTCAAGTGCAGCCTTCGCGCGAATCTAGTCAATTCGAGACCTGGCTGCTTTTTTCAGCCGTCTGCAACAACTTAATTGCATTCGGCCACTTTCTTTGCCGCCCACCTCTGCTGAATACACCAAAACCCAGCTCCAGCTCCAGCTCCAGCTCCAATTAGTGTGGCAAGCTCCACGGAGCACTTTCAGATCGAAACTCGTTTCGCCGTTCAATCACTGCGCTTTTGGCGCTACACCGCACATGCCAGTAATTGCAATCATATTTCGACACGCTGCGCTCTATGCATTGGCCATAAACTTCTTCCCGGTCCGAAAATAAAGCGTTTGAAAAAGTGTCAATGCCACACAACTGCGGCAAGCCGACGAGTGTCTACCCTCAAAGTACTGACTTACTAAAAAAAAGTTAGGGTATAGCACAAGCCAAACTGAAACTAAACTGATGAGCGAGTTGAGTGCGTGTCCGATCGGCTTAGCGTTGAACGAGCTCCCGATGGAAATTAAGCTCAATGATTGAACAGTTTTACTTTCCGCCTGGCCTCTTTGCCACTCTGCCATTTCTGCGACAGTTCGTGTGACTCGAAACTATTGGCTATAATGGCTTACTGCGTTGAATTGCGGCGATTTGTTTGCTGGTCAACAATAACTTCAGCCGGCTTAATTGGTCTCGTTCGCCACTCGGCTGCGTTGACCCCCAGCAGCTGGGGCATGTGCATTGAACTTCGGAGGAGACGGGCCAAGCGAGACCCTCGCCCAAGTCCTCCGCCTCCCAGAAGTGCAAGTGGCAAGTATTTTTAGAGCAGCCAAATGCAGCACACAAGTCAAACGCCTCCGGCGACTCGATGCACTCTGAGAAATCAGCGGGTGGAATATGCACTTTGTATTGGAAGGAAAATAAGTTCTTATGACTTTTTTGTATGACTTCGAAGCTCGTCGGTAAAATGTAAAAATCTTTCCTACTTCCTAAGTCCATGCTTCAAAAAATGTATTTTGTATGCTCTTTCCGTTTTCATTCCTACTCGTAAATTCAATTTTGATGTCTCTCAGCACCTTTTCTTTTATATTACTTAATTTACAACAGTTAAGTTAAGTACTTTCATCTATTTAACAATGAAGTACGAGTATCTATTTAGTCATGAGCCATCATTTTGCCGAGTGTACAACCCAACCACCGCCACTTCGAACATCGAACATGTTGCAGGAAAACTGTGAGTTGGCACGAAAATCGCCGGCAAAAGCGAGTTTTTCGAAGCCATCGCAACAGTTCGGATCGGTCGCTTGGTTTCGCTGCGTCGACGGACGGGAGATTTTCGCGCGGATACAGATACGGCTACTACGGATACGGATTGTTTTGATTTGGTTTGTTTTGTTTTGATTCGATTCGCCGGCTTCAAGCGACGCGTGCCAATCGCGAAAGTAAATGGCGGCAAGTCAAAGAGTGTGTGAATGTGAATAAAGTTGATTAACGACGAGCATCGCTCAGAAGTGCCAAAATAAAGTTAATGTGCCAAGTGAACGGCCCTCGAATAATGCTCTTGGGATTCTCCGACTTTAAACTCGTACGCGAACGTACAAGCTCGTCCATAAATTGTATCCAACAGGCTGCTGTACATGGAGGATGTATGCTTCATGGCTTTAAAAACCCACCATCAGCAATACCCTGAAACTCGCTAGCACCCTCCATAATTATCGCCTTATCTCAATGCACACAAATTAAAAGGCTTACTGCAGCCAGACAAACAGTGCCCAAAAAACTGCCAGGCCAGACGATTTTTTCTCCACGGACCACGTTTTATGTTCATGTATCCTCGATAAGAGTTGTGCGCTATTTAAGTCCTTGGAGGAGTGGTTTTCACGTCGGCGGACCTCTGGGAATGAAAAGTTTTCGGAGTAAAGAGTTGGGAAAGCGTAGCTATAGCAATATATAGCTATTAAAATTTATACCATTTGAAATTTGATCTTGTGGCTTGCGCCTTTCTCCTTAAAAACCTGGCTAAACTTCGTTTTGGATTCACTGCAACTATTCCTCCAATGAAATTGTGGCTTGGAATTCGTTGTGCGTTGTGTCCAACGCCACCGTAAATAAACTCCCATAAATGTTTACATTTTGTTGGAATACAATCCCAATTTGGGCACTATCGAGCCACATCGCTTAGTAAAGGGTGCACTTTATCCTCGTTCTTATCAGTCAATTTCACCCTAATTTACCACCTTTCCATATGACTGCCTCCAAAGTAGTCAGACGGTCTGAAGAAAACGGGAGTCGTCTAAGTTCGGAGCCCAGCGGTAATTAGTGGCAGACAATGGTTAGGAAGCTAACCGAGTTTGGGATCCCAAAGGGTGCTAATCTCCATTGTCATCGCATGTTGCAGACTGGTTGATAACCGGTTTTTCGGGGCTTTCGACGCGTGTCTCCAATTAATCACCGCCTCGAATCCGTTGGTTCTTCGGAGCTTCTAGAAGCGTGTTCCCCGCGTCTCTAATTACATTTATTCAAGTGGCAGCTGGGACCGAAAGGATTATGCTGCTTCAGTCTGGAAGACTGGGAAGATGCATGGAAGCTACCATATTCGGGACTCCTGCTAATTATGCTTACCAGTTGGGAGTGCGATGGCTTGAAGTCGGGGACTTTCAGTTTTCAATTTTCCAGTGCTGCTCTGCCACTGACATCTGACAAACTGACAATCTGACAATCTGAGACCCTGTCAAGCGGGCAACAGGCGCTGTCAAAATCCTTCGGTGGGGGGCATTGAACTCGCAACCCTCACAGAAGCCGAGTCGAAATCCAAATCAAAATCGAAACTCGAGATACCAGAAGCAAGCTGTCAAATTATCAAGCAAGCAA